TAGAACTCTGCTTTTTTATATCTGGCTTTTCACTTTGCATAATGTTTTCAAGGTTTATCTATGTTGTATCATGTATCAAACTTTATTAATTTTTATGGCTGAAATAATATTCCTTTGAATTTATATACTTTTAAAAAATCCATTCATCTGTTGATGGCCACATGAATTATTTTCACCTTTGGGCTATTGAAAATAATGTTGCAATGACTATTTGTGTATATCTGTTTGAGTCCTTGTTTCATTTTGTGGGGGATACCTAGGAATGGAATTGCTGAGTCAATGATAATTTAAAGGAGTGTTTTTAAAAACATTTCTTTTGATTCTTCATCTTAGGTTTGTAGTCAAGCTGCCTCGAATCCCCTCAGGCCACCTAACCCTCAGTGCCCCTAGTAAGCTCCTTTCCCTAAACCAAAGACCAGAAGAAGTCTTCTAATTGGGCCCCACTCAGCTCTTTTCCCTTAAGACTCAAGGCCAGGCTAGAGGTTAGTCACTGTATCTTTTGAGAGACTTCCAAACTTAGGAAGCCACTCAATCAAAAAGTTACCTAGAAGAGGAGTGGAATTAATTACAGAGTGTTTAGGATTCTTGATCAGTGGATGGTACAGACATGAATGGAGGACAACCTGATGCCAAGTACAGAAATGATCCTTTCAACCTTACCCAGTGCATTCAGGTTGGGAAATGAGCCAGAGAATTATCATCCTCACCTAAATCAACTCATCAAAAAATTAGCCTTCAGAGTTTATACAAATAAAAGCTTGGTTTAAAATAGTAATAGAAAAATATCAGAATTTTCTTTTTTTAATTTAAAAATTTTAATTTTTTATTGAGGTGAAATCCACACAACATATAATGAACAGTTTTAAAGTGTACAGTTTAGGAGCATTTGATACATTCACAATGTTGTGTAGCTACCACCTCTCTCAAGTTCAAAACTTTTTCATCACTCCAGAAGACAATCCCATGTGCTCTAGCTTTTCAGGTGTGATTACCTCCTTCTGCTGTCTAGGGCAGGAGGCATGAATGTTCACACACATGAGGATTTAATTCTCACAAAAACAAGGTTATGTTTAAGACATACAATAAATGAAGGACTAGCCATGGAAGACACTAATCAAACCAAACACCCTGTGATAGCTTCTTTCAGTACTGTTTGTGGGTTTATTTTGTTCTTTCTAGATATACATGATGATAGAGTGTATTTTGCACATTATTCATGTATAGAATAAGTATAATTTGTTCCAATTAGGATCCTGTTACTTTGGTGATATATGATGTGTATTCATATACAAGGATAAGAAAGATATGTGTGATTCATTTTTCTCTCTTCTATTCCCATCCTCTCTCCCTTCCCTTCATTCCCCTTTGTCTATTTGTTGATCTAAAGGGGAATCAGGATTAGAGGCTTCAATACTATACTGTTTTATCTGATTTATTTTTATTTATGGTTAATTTTTTTCTTTTAAATTTATTTATTTGTTCTAATTAGTTATTTATGGTTATTTTTTAATTGACAATTATTTAGGTATATTTATGGATAAAATGTGATGTTTTCATATATGTATACACTGTGAAATGATTGTCAAGTTAACATGTCAATTATCACTTCCCATGTAATAATATTTGAAATATATTCTTTTAGCAATTTTGAAATATACAATATACTATTGCTAATTATAGTCATTGTGCTCTGCAGTAGATCTCAAAAACTTATTCTTCCTATCTCACTGAAAATTTGTAGCCACTAACCAACACCCACCTGATTTAATAACCAATGAACTGAGTATATTGTTTTTCCTCAGTACATTGTGAATTCCTTGAGGACAGAGACTAAGTCTCGCACATTTTGGTATTCTCAGTGTCCACACAATGGACTCCATCTACAAGGTACTAAATTTGCACTTTTTGGTTGGAACTGAGTGGGCTGGGTGTTTTTTGCTTAGTGAATAGAAAGGACTATGAGAATAGTAGGTAAATGTGAATTTCAGAAGCTCATAGATTTAAAGCTAGTTTACTCTTTTTCCCCCACCATGGGAGAAAAACATGACACATTTATTTGATAATAACTTTATATGATAAAGACACTCTCAGATCAAAAATCCAAGACCCTGGATGAATAATTAAGGATCTGAACTAATGGCAATAGGTTCGAGTGGGGAAACCTAGCAAGGTCTGTCTATTCAGATTCTTCCTGGCTACTCAGTTGTGGCCTTTCTTCCTCCTGGGTGTAGTATAGGATCCCTCTGGAATAAGGGTCTTAATTTTTTTATGGTCAGTATAACTAGTTTACTCTTAAACTAGCAAAGCAGAATTTTTCTAGGACTCAGGAAAGCAAGAAGGCATACGTACCATAGACCTTTCCATTGATAGAACACTTGTTGAAAATCATGATGTTCTGAGTCAATGTCCCTGTTTTATCAGAGAACAAATATTTGACCTGGCCAAGCTCCTCATTTAGTGTGGTAGTGCGCGCCTGTGCTGGGGTGTTCTTTGGTTGATAAAACATATTCCGATCCCAATTGATATAAAAACTGTTGCCTAGTCTTATTATTTCAACACTAAGGAGAAAGCAAGAAAAGAAAGGTCTTGGTCAGAGCATGACAAATACATTATCTTGGTTTCTTCTTACTGGTCCCATGGCAGGTCAGGAGCCAGCATCTGAAAATCAGAGCATCTTCTCTAGGAACCTGCCCTCCTGAGGGAACTTTCTTAGCAGGCAGCACATCAAAACTGACCTTGAGGGCTGGGGTGGCTGCTCAATGGTAGAGTGCTTGTCTAGCATGTGTGAGGCACTGGGTTCAATCCTCAGCACCACATAAAAATAAAATAAAGATATTGTATCCACCTACAACTAAAAAATAAATATTAAAAAAAACTGACCTTGACTATCACCATGAAAGGCTTTACCACCTAGATCCAGATACACCTGATTAACTTGTCTGAGTTGCACTCTTCTTTCACTTTTTCTAAAATGCATCCAGGAAAAGTCACAAATTTTTAACTTTTGGAATATTATTTGACTTATAAAAGGCTATGCTGACCTAATTAAAAGATTAATTCTGCTATATTGTGGAGAAGAGAGAGAAACCTGTCATACTCAGAGTTTCATTGTTTCAGAAGAAGAGAAGAAGCTGTGAAAACCAGAAATGGCTTATTGGCTGACCTGAAAAATTCCTAGGCAGTCAGCCTGCCTGTGGGGTGCCTTTTCCCTAATGGCCTCTCTGTTTCTATCAATTTCCATGTTGCCTTTGTCACATTTGCTCTTCTGCTGCAAATAATATGCATTATAGATATTTTATGGTCAATAACATTTTCATTTTAAAACTATGAAGGTTTTTAAGGGACCTCCTTCTTGTCATCATTCATACTTAATGTATGTTAAACTGATTTATCAGTGACCCCTGTCTGAGACAGCAGCATTGAAAAGCCTGAGTCTTTTTCTTTGTGCTGAAGAAAGAATTATTCAAATTCTCATGGGTGACTCTTTATTGATGATCCTCATGCTTGGAGTCATACTTGACCCCTTCTAGGCTTTTACCAGCCACATCAGTCTTTCTAAACCCGAACATTTAATCACATTCTTTCTTTCATTAGAAAAATCTTGGCTGGTTCCTTACTGCTTTTAGGATAAAATTCAAACTCTTTGATCTGGAATTTAAGGCTTTTCTGGATCTGACTTGAAATTATCAATCGATACCTTAGTTTAGCTTTTAAAAACCTCTACACCTTTTGTACATGCTGAACTTTCTGCTTGCAATGTTCTTTATCTGTTTTTCCAAATATCAGTTTGATTATTACCTTTTCTGAAAACCTTCCTCACCTCTACAGATAGAATTTATCTATTCCTTCTCAAGGCTCCTATAGCACTTAAATATTTCAGTTCCATCATTTTTTTCATATTATACCATAATTCTTTATTTATGTGTGCGTTTCCATGGCTACACTGCAAGCTCTAGGGAAAGGGATGGCTCCTTATTCATGTTTCTAGCTCTAATACCTAGTATATTGCTTGGCACATAGTAGGTGTTCAATAAATATTCATTAAACAAGGCAATGCTTTTGGAGGCTGGGATGTCATACTGACGGCCTTAGGAAAGGAGGAAACTAAAACACATTTGGGTCCCTGTATGTGCAAAGGAATGCTTAACTCAGAAAAGTAATACCAAAGTATGGTGAAGACTTGTTTCATCTATTTCAAATTTTTGTCCAAGGTGCTTATTAAAAAAAGGGAAGAGGGGCTGGGATTGTGGCTCAGTCATAGTAAAGTGCTCACCTAGCATGTGTAGGGCCCTGGGTTCGATCCTCAGGGCCACATAAAAAGAAATGAATGGAACAAAGGTATTGTGTCCAACTACAACTAAAAAAAAATAAATATGTATTTTTTTAAAAAAGGGGAGGAGGGCTGGGGTTGTGGCTCAGTGGTAGAGTGTTTGCCTAGCATGTGTGAAGCCTTGAGTTCAAGTCTCAGCACCACGTACCAATAAATAAAATAAAGGTCTATTGAGAACTAAAAAACTATTAAAAGAAAAAAAAAGGGGGAGGAAACACCCTTCCTCTTCTCTAACTTTTAGGGACTGAACTTAGATCATAACCATACCTATCTACCATTTGCCATCTTGTTTCTATGGGAAAATATACTCCTGAGTACTAAGTGACTGACATATGAATGAATGTTTAGATCCTATCTCATTGGTAATAGACGCTGCCTGGCCTGGCTTCAGCATCACAAAATTTGTGTCTTTTTTCAAATTGTTTCGTGTGTTTGTATGTCTTTTTTAGTCACTCGCAGCTTATTTGAGGGCAGAGATGGTTTTCTTTTTGTACAGACCATGTAGTATATAGCTCAGTATTCTAGACATGGAAGGCATTTATGTACTCTCCATATATCTCTCAGAATGTTTTATATACCATGCATGTGGAAAGTAAAGAGTAAACAGCATGTAGTATATTCTTTCTATAAGTTCACGCTCTAGTTGGAGAATTAAGCAGGAAGTATGAAGTCAACCCGTTTCCCTATAACCCCAAATGATCAAAGACACCTACCTTACATAAAGAGAAATGGGCACCATGGTGTTGAGAATAATGAAGTAGGACCAGAAAGTGAACATGGCAGAGATAACTGATGAAGAGATATAACTTTCCCATGGCATAAAAATCTGGAAGTGGTAGCCTTTCTTGGTCTCCCAAATACCATGCCCAATTGCTAGGATAATACACATGACGCCTAAAATCAGGAAAATCTATATAACAAAAGAAAATAAAAGAGATGAATTAAATGAACATTTCATCCAAGATACATGCTGCTTCAGTTCAAACTTATGGAGCCTTATCTTTCAGTAAAATGTCTCTTTCCTTATAGGACAAGGAAGTCCTATAGTTCATAGGCCCCAGGCATTAGTACACAAGACAGAAAAGAAAGTCCAGCATGAACCATTCTTGGGGTTTTGAAAATAAATTATATCAAGTACTACTTAATTTCTTTCTTCAATGTTCTATAGTTTTGATTGTGGAGGTTTTTCACCTCCTTCTTTAGATTTATTCTTAGGTATTTTATTTTATTTTTGAAGTAAAAGAAAGCTATTGTGAATGGAATTATTTTCCTGACTTCTTTCTGAGCAGATTCATTGTTGATATATGGAAAAGCTATTAATTTGCATGTCGATTTTGTAACTGGCTAGTTTGCTGAATTTGTTTATTAGCTCTAGCAGTCTTTTGGTGAGATTTTTGGATCTTCTAAGTATGGGATCATATCATTTGAAAATAATGATAATTAGATTTCTTTTAAAGAAGAATGTTTTGTGGATCATTTTTTTGTGTGTCAGTTTTAAGTTATTTGCATTTAAAATCAATACTTTTTAATGGAAACAATTCGACTAAAAATGTATCACAGAATTTTGAGATCCATTAAAACAAAGTTTAATGAGAAAAAATCCCTCAAGACTTTTTTTTCGGGGGGGGGGCAGCACTGAGAATTGAACTTGGGTGTTCTACCACTGAGCTACATCCCCAGACCTTTTTATCTTTTAATTTTGAGGCAGGATCTTGCTAAGTTGTCTAGGCTAGCCTAGAACTTGAACTTGTGATCTTCCTGCCTCAGCTGCCCGAATACCCTGAGTTGCTGGGATTACAGACATGTGCCAACATGCCCAGCTCATGCCCTTTACTTAAAATTATTTAACATTTAATTGTTAATGAACATGAACACACATGCAAAAATCATATAGTTGGGCACAGTGGTGCATGCCTGTAATCTCCGCTACTTGGGAGGTTGAGGTAGGAGGCTCCCAAGTTCAAGGCCAGCCTCAGAAACTCAGTGAGACCCTGTCTCAAAAAAACAAAACAAAAAAAGGGCTAGGGATGTAGTTTTGTTGTAGTATCCCTCCACAAAAAGAAATCACAAACATGTAAGTTGATAAATTTTCCCAAAGTCATCACACTAATTAAACTAACAATCAGATGACATTTCCAGCATCCAGAACCCACTGTATGTCCCCCTTCTAGTCACTATCCCCCTAAATTTGTACATACTTAAAGAATACAACTTGATATATAGGTACATAAGTATATATGTACATAATGTATATATATACACACACACACACATATATACACATATGCCTATGAAACCTTTATCCTACTCAAGGTAACAAAATACTGGCTAGTTTCCTGTGCCCTTTTATAATTCTTCCTTCCCACTCTTCTCTTCCTCTGATCCCCATACAACTTTAGATCAGTTTGGTTCTTTTTTTTTGGCGGGAGGGCGGGTACTGGGTATTGATTCTAGGGGCTCTTTACCACTGAGCTACATTCCCAGCCCTTTTTACTTTTTGAGGCAGGGGCTCACTAAGTTGCTTAGGGCATTACTAATTTGCTAAGGCTGGCCTCAACTTGTGATTCTTCTGCCTCAGTCTCTCAAGTCACTGGGATTACAGGCATGTGCCACAACACCCAGTTCAGTTTTCTTTTTTAAGAATTTCATGTAAATGGAATCATATTAGCATGGCACTCTTTTTATTGGTCTGACTTCTTTTCACTCAGCAAAATGATTTTGGGATTCATCTATATTTTTGCATCTATCAATGGTTCATTTATATTGCTGAATAGTATTATTTTGTATAGCTAATGCACAATTTGTGTACTAATTTGCCTTTTATGGAACATTGGGGTTGTTTCCAGTTTTTGGCTATTACAAATAAAGCTGCAGTGAACACTTCTGAATAATCTTTTCGAAGACATAAGCTTTCATTTCCTTTGGAAATAACTTGGAGTGGAGTTAGTAAATCCTACAGTAAATTAATGTTGACTTTTTAAGATACTGCCAAATGTTTTACTGTGCTTATACCACTTTACATCTCACCAATACTGTATGCTCACATGCCTATAGAGAAGACATGCATGATATTATGTGAATGACCTCTAAGTCTACCCAGTGGTCTTCAAATTGGTGATTCTGGTCACAGGTTTAGATAGTTCAAGGCAACCCATTGGTAGATGATCAGAGGTCCTATCTGTGTACCACTGATGAGGAAATCTTTGAAGATAAGAATAGCAAGGCAGGTTGAAATAGAAACAGGTCTGACTGGGACCATTCTTAGAAACTGAGATTTTTTTTTAAAAAATCTTTTATTGTGAAAAATTTCAAACATACATTAAAGTATATAAATAGTCAATGAACCCATGTGCCCAGAAGGCTTCTCTGAAATGTTGGAAAAGATGCAAGCCATGCAGATTTGAGGGCAGACATTGCCAGCAAGGGTAAGCATCCTAAGGCAGGAACAAGTTTGCTCTCTCACTTGATTTGTTGTTTAATTGGAGATATATATATATATATATATATATATGTCAAATATCTAAGTCAAAGTCATTTTCACTAGGAACTGTGAAGGAATGTACCTACTGGTTTCTAGGACACAGTGCTGCATGAGAAGTCCCATGCCAATCTGGTTCTCTCTCTCCTCTCTCCTCTCTCTCTCTCTCTTTTTCTCCCCCCCCCGCCTCGTCCCCCTCTTTTTGTCACCATCTTATTTCTTATCCCTATGAAAATATATGAGGGACCCCTCCTTGTTGAGAGCCACAGCCGAAGGGGCCCCAGCAAACTTCCAGCTGCCAGCAAACTTCCAGCTGCCAGCTGATGATTGGCTCACAGCGGCCCCAGCAACATCTAGCTGATTGGCTCCTCTGCGGTGATGCTCATTGGGCTGTTTCCCTGCCCTTTCCGACCACGGAGCTGCTCATTGGGGGACTTTTTTGGCTCCGCCCACGTGACCCAGCCAATCGGCCTCAAGAGCAGGAGGATTGTGGGAGGTGGGGAGAAGCTTGTGTGGGAGAGAGAGGCTTGTGGAAAGCCGGTGGTGGCAGTTGAGGCTCTGAGGGTTTTTCCTGAGAGGCTGTTTTGTTTGGCGTGTGTGGTTCTAAAAATAAAGTTAGTTTCTTTTGACAAGTGGCTCCTGATTGTGCCCAGCCAGACTGCGGCACCTCCTTGCCCAACTCTTCTATTTGGTCCTCTGTTAAAACAAACAAATCCTCTCATATTTTATATCTCTTTGTCTCTTTGTTTTATGGTTCAGGGGAGTTTCCCGGCTCAATTTTAGCACGTTTTCTGGCTTTTTAACATTAATAGTCTTGTTTTTACTTTCTAAAATTCCTTTTTATAATTTCTTTTCTTTTAATCTTGCTTTTTTCTCCAAGCAACTTATTATTTCTCGTATGCAACTGCTGCTTCTAAAAATAGTCCAAAATTTTTTTGAAAGTTCTTCTCCTTGAATTATAATCTGTTTATTCCAGGGTCAGTTATTGGACCCTTATTCTTCTTTTTGTGCTACCAGGTTCCTCCAGTCCACTTAAAAATATGAACAAAAGAATAGTTTGGGGGCTGGGATTGTGGCTCAGTGGTACAGCGCTTGCCTAGCTCGTGCGAGGTGCTGGGTTCAATCCTCAGCACCACAAAAAAATAAATAAATAAAGATAAATAATTAAAAAAATAGTTTGATCATTATAGGTTTCTGGTGTAGGTTTTGCTTTCTTTGGTAAATTTTGTCTCCCTAGTAGGGCATTTTTCTGAATGGAGACCCATGAATAGGAAGATAGAACATATTGTTCCTAGGTACACAGGGAACTTTTAGGCACATTTGAACCTCCCTGATTTAAAATTAAGTGGGTTTTACTCTGAAGTATTGACACACTAGAAGCCGTAGTCCTTGGGATGTGGCTCAGGGATACAAGCAATTGCCTAGCACATGCAGGGCCCTGAGTTCTCCAGTAGCACCAGACATAAAAAAAACAAAAACAAGGGCTGGGGCTGCAGCTCAGTGGTAGAGCACATGCCTAGCATGTGTGAAGCACTGGGTTTGATCCTCAGCACCAGAAAATAAATATATAAAATAAAGGTATTGTGTCTATCTATAACTAAAAACAAACAAAAAACAAAATCTCTAGCCCTCTTCAGGTAGGTTGTTAAATTTCTTTCAAAAACAGTTTTCTATTTTAGGACTAGAAGGCAAATATATTTGTTTATATAGGTAGTAGGAAGGTACAACTGTTGCCCATGTTTTGTTTTTTGTTTTTTGTACTGGAGATTGAACCCAGGGGCACTTTACCACTAAGCCATATCCCTGACCCTTTTGTTTTTTATTTTGATACAGGGTCTCACTAAGTTGCTTAGGGCCTTGCTAATTTGCTGAGGCTGGCCTTGAATTTATGTCTCCCAAGCCACTGGGATTGAAGGCATGCACCACCACACCTGGCTGTTGCTCATGTTGTTTTATGGACATTTTTAAAATTAATTACTCTAATTATTGCCCCACATCCCACACTGCTCTCCATTCCTGCTGATTCCAGCTTGGAGCCACTCTTAAGTGCTACCAAGAAGAATGTATTTCTATGGAAGCATTCCTTACTCTGCTTTATAATCTATTTGCATGCCAAAATCATCTCGGGTCTGCTGATAGGTCTTTATTCTGTGTCCCAAATGTTAGGTATTTATTTTCCATTTGTATTTCTTTACAGTCATATTATTTAACTTGAATGGGAAGTCTTCACATCCTTCTTCAACTGGATGCCTTGAAGTGAACTCACTACCTCAGAAAACATCCCATGCTTCCTGAAGGAAAGATCCTTATGAAGGACCTCACAAATGCAGGGCCTTTGCAGCAGTTACTAGCTGAGAGCCTGAGCAGAGACCCACATCCTTTGAAGACACCTACACAGATCCCTCTCCAAGCCTACTCTGATCTTACTAGTTGTTTTCTAGGCCTGCTGTTTGGCCCCCATCCCGGGGCTTCCTTCCACTACGGCCAAGCTTCCTGGCTTCCTTAGCTGCTTCCTTCTTGGTTTATACTTCTGTCTTATCTTCTGTTTAGCTTGAGTAGAGATTGATCCTCAGCACCAGAAAATAAATATATAAAATAAAGGTATTGTGTCTATCAGATACTTTACCATTGAGTTATATCCCCAAGTCTTTTCCTTTTTTATTTTAATACAGGTCTCACTAAGTTGCTTAGGGCCTCACTAAGTTGCTTACGCTGTCCTCGAACTTGTGATTGTCCTGCCTTAGCCTTCTAAGTTGCTGGGATTACAGGCGTATACCACCACACCTGGCTTGAGTATGCATTCTTGAAGTTTGCTGAGAAAGGATATTTGATGAGTAAATTTTTTTTGTCTTTGTCAAAACCTACTTGACCTCTCCTATTCTCCATGCAGCACTCTTCTAAGAAAATAGAATTTGAAAATCATCAGTTTAAATAAGGTGTTCTGTTAGTTCAAGTGAGTCTTTATTAAAGTGATCATGAGTAAAATTGATTATGAGAAAATAAAAATATATGAATATTTATTTACACTTCAATTTCACTGATAGTTTCACTGGATTTAGACTTAAAAGTTGCAAATAATTTCCTGGAAGACTTTTGTAAGCATTAATAGGTATCTTCTGCTCTTTGCTGTTGAGGTGGTCAAATGTTATTCTGATTCCTGATCTTTGTGTATGACCTTTTTTCCTCCCTGGAAACCTTTAGGATCTCCCTTTTAGTTTCATAATTTCTTTACATGTTAATCTGCCATGTTAAACAGTATTTGCCTTATGTTTTAATTTTGTCTCCCCAAGGAAACAGCAAGTATAGCAGAAAGAACATTGATGATGAAGAGTTATGTCTGTTGAATAGATGTGATTACTGAATAAAATGATACATGTAAAGCAACTGGCACATATTGATATTGAGGCCTTCCCCACAATGGGTTCTAAACTTGAGGGCTACAGCCATTTCTTTCTTTCTTTTCTTTCTTTTTTTTTTTTTTGAAATTTAAAGAAAAAATTTATTGAAGTTTTGAAAAACAATTCCTAAAAGATTTGACTTTTCCAGAAAACTGTAGCTACACAATGCATTGCATCTATCATGTTAAAATGTGCATAAGACACAAATACAAAAACCATGGCAAGCCACCATTCTTCAACAATTTGAGCAAAGATATAATGCCTAAGGAACAACATGGATTACTTGCGAAGGATGGGCTCTTTACTTTAAGCACCATTAAAAAAAAAAAAAAAGGAGCACAAATGGATGAGTGTGTTCAGTTATATACACTGAATTGAACCTTTGGCACTAGGAATCAGAGCATTTTGTCATATAGCATTAACACATATTATAAAAGTGCGTAGTGTCGAAGGAATAGAACCACCAGCATTCAAAAGCAGCTTTGTCAACTAGGCAAACACTCTACAGCATGTTTCTCTGTTGTCCATCATTGAATACACTAGTAGCAACTTTGAAATGAAATTAAAAGAAAGAAAGGAAAAAAGGAGCAGTAACCCCTTTTATTTTCTCTGTTTAAATTCAAACAGAAAACAAACATCAATTTTGTTATACACTAACATCTTCAAAGTACATCATTTGTACAAGAGAAGGACTAAGAACAAAAATGTGTTTACAGAGATCCAAACACAAGTGAATGAAGTATACCTCCTCACACTGCTTTCAGATGGTATTCAGGAAGGTCGACTTCATAATCCCTGGCACTAAACAAAGTTGCAGAATTCTTTGCCAGGTACTTGAGGAAATCATGAAGATAATTCAGTAATAAAACAAGGCTCTTCTTATCCAGAGGTGTATAGGCCAACATTGCTCCAATTCCTACAAATAATCTCAGTAGATGTGGTGCTCCATACACCTGGGACATGGGTGCATCAGGATGATCTGCAAGGATTTCGGCATACTGTGGTCTCTCAAATTTGTAGAGCAGTTGAGTGCCCAGCATTACATTGAAGTATTCTTTCATTCCTGCCACAACTTCATTAACAGCATACTCCTTATTATCTGTGTTTCCTCGAGATTTCTTGTAATTTGCATAATCCTCAAGAATAGAATCCACATTCTTCTTCTTTGCAGGAAGATAAAAGAGCTGTTTTTGTCTGGTAATTAAGTCCCAGTCATCAACAAGCCATGGTTTTAGCTCTTCAGGAATCTTTACTTTAACTTCAACTCTGTTCATAAATGTTTCTTCATTTTCAACAGTAGGATCTACCCGGGCCCTTTTCTTCGGAGGAGGCTGGGGTGTCTCACTGGTACTGCCACCATCTCCATTTCCAGGTGTTTTCTGTTTGTTCCTTTTGGTTTTCACTTCAACATTTTTCTGTTGCAGCCCCTCTCATCTTCCCCTCTGCATACTGCTCCTGATTGGCTTTTTGGAGTTCTCGCTGTTTATGCAGATTGGTATCCACGTACTTGAGCACTCTGCTTTCTGGAACCCATTCATCCCAACTAGAGATCAGGAGGGGGTGGTGTACTGAGGGAGCTCCTTCAGGAACAGGAAAAAGGGCTACAATATCCTCACATGTCTTCAAAGTTTTTTCAGAGCGCCTGGGCCTCACAGCACTTTTTTTTATTCCAACCACTCTAATGTATAAAGTATTTCACTTGTTTGTCCTTTATGGCAACCTTAACGCACTTTGCTTCATAAAGGAGAGACCCATGAAAGCACAGCACTCGCTCACCCTCCTGGAATTTCGGCTTCGGGTCTTGCTTGGGCACTATTTATAAGTGATTCACAGCCTCCTCCTTCTCCCACCACCCCCGACTACTGCCCCCTACTCTCTACCCTATCCAGCTGAGCCACAACCCTAGCCCAAAGTGTAATATCTTATTAAACAAATTTTCACTGTTCTCCACAACAGAAGTATAAACTAGAATCCTTTGTAAATTGGTTCTGTTCTTTTCTGCTTCAGACTTTACACTGTAGAGTCCTAAAACTTGAGACTTTCAAACAACTAAATTACAAGTTGGAAATCTAGCTACTCCTGTGGAAGTCTATTTGTAAACAGAGTGAAAGTTGGGAACACTAATAATCCCAGCAATTCATGATGTTGAGGCAGGAGATTGCAAGTTCAATGCCATCTTGGGCAACTTTGTGAAATGCTGTCTCAAAATAAAAAATAAAAAGGTTTGCAGATGTTGCTCAATGGCACATGTGTGAGGCTCTATATTCAATCCTCAGTACCATCACCACCAAAGAAAAAAAAGCAGAGGAAAAAAGTCTTTAACTTACCCAGATCACAAAGAGATTCATGAGATGGTCAATATGTGTCCGTTTAAAGATGGATTTCCCACTGTTCTGCATTAATTTGGTGTCTGGCCCTAAGTAAAACAGAGAGATATCAGACTCAGAGTCTTGAAACTGGATTGAAATATAACTCTATGATTACCTATTCTAACCTCTTATGCAATTCCAGGAGGCAAAGCTCTGAAGAAAAGATCACAGATGGTACGAGTAACTCCAAAAGGGAACATTTGTTTCTGAGGATAGTCCAGACTACTTCTGTGAAGTGCATTCATGCTGACTCCTCTCTTTTTAGCACCTCAGACAGTTCTGACATATTTTTTGAGATGAGTTAATTCAGAATAGGAATTCTTAAGCTTCTCTCTTATTACCACCTGGTTTGTTTAGATCAGGGAAAGAATTTCCTGATACAAAGATCTCTGCCTTCTTTTTAGTAACCCCACTGCTGGGCCAGGATATACTTAAAGCTTCTAACTGGGAATGGAATAAAGGAAGAGGCAATGGCAGTGATCTTACTTGAAGTATGAACTGGAGGCTAAGCTTCTGTGGGGTTGAGAGATGAGAACCTGTTTCTTCATGGAAGGGAAGATAGTAAGTAGAAGTAAGGAGTGATTAATAGCCATTGAGATTAGAGCTACAAATTATTAATTAGAGATATGGCTTCAGAGAAAGTATAAGAGGATAGAAGACACTAGGTAGCAATTTCTCTAGCCTTTTACCATCTGATCATTATTTTTACATGTGCTCTACAGAGGGAATTTCACTCATGTTTCCCCACAGGAGAACTGTAACTACTGTGGAATGTGGGCAACACTGGGAGTGCACAACATAAAATGTGCCATTCTTTCCTCTGAAGCATTCCTTGAAGGGTTTGAAGTAATGCAAAATTTGGTTCAGAGCCTGGAAGCGACAGAGACCATATCTTCCATAGTCCTTAGAAAGACTGGGCCCACTCACCTGGGTTTCAAAAAGAAGGTGAAGATCATGGTAGAACTTGGCATCATGCAGCAGGAACAGAAACTAAACTCTGTACTGAGTACCTCAGGATGCCCTTGGTAGCATTGGTTCTTTGTGTGGAGCTTCCCAAAGCTGCTCATGACCATGTAACCAACCAAGAATCGGAGGGAAACCTTAACTGAGTTGTGAGAGTAAGCAACCTAATGGCTATTGCTTTGGATAAGATAAAGAATTCTGGCTGAAAAATTGTCACGATGGCAAAAGGTGCGGCTTATGCAGTCAAGGGGGAGAAATAAAAAATGTCCACACACTTCCGCCTTTGTCAATGCTTTATTCTCTCAAATCACTCAATATAATTTCACTCTATAGATTCTTAATCAAGGAAATGACAACCCTTAATGCTAGGCACTGCAATAGACATAATCAATTCACAGCAAATAACTCTATATTAATTCTAACCACTGCAAACACACTTAATCATGACAGGCTCATGACAGACATTCCCTCTGCGTGCTAAGCTCAAGTGTCAGGTCATAAGTCTCAAGCCTTAGGCTCTAAGTCCAGCAGATGCACACTCACTCAGACCATGGTGATCAGATCAGGAACCAAGGCAGGCTTCTCCTGGGGTGGAGCTGAGGCTGGCTGAGGAGGTGGTCATAGGGAAAAGTCCTTTTCTCACCAGAGTCAAGAGGCTGCTGTAGAGTTTGAGAGCGGGGAGAGCAATGCAGAAGGGATCAGGCAGATGAGAAGAGTTGGGATGTCAGTCCAGGTCTTCATCAGGCTCTCAGGCTTGTGTGTATCAGTGTTGGCTGGCTGAATGTCTGTTCATCTGCTCCATCATTATACTAAATTTTGGGGCTTCTGACCACCCTTTTCAATCCCTATCAGCTGCTATCATTCATCCTCAGGTTAAAGCATCTGGTCTGGTGGTCTCCACCCTGATTTTCTTGCCTTTCTCCCTTATCAGGGTGAGGACAACATGCCAGAGACTTCACTCTGAGTTTGTCAGGGTGGGGAGAAGTGATTTGTTTGTGTCTGAGGGCCATACTGGAAGGCTCCATGAGGCATGGCTGGTCAGACTGCAGGTTTCAATCTGGAGTTTTAAAATGGAGTTGCTTAGGCTTGGGCCTAAGGCCATCCTTACAGTCTACCCCCTTGATTCACAGTGTTCACGCTCAGGGGGTGCCCTAAGTGTATGCTGCAAATCAATACAGAGGCATCGCCTATTCCACTCGCCAAAGGCTGGACTCCACATATGTCCAAAAGTCACTTCTCATTATGGATTGTTGTATCATTCCATAACCACCAATAGTGACCACAGTCCAATTACATCTGGTTAAGATCAAAGTGGTAGCAATGTACCCAGGGATTATAATTACAATATAATCATAATCAAGAGGTTCAATAGGGTTGAGACATTTGTAAATCTGTCTTGCATATAAGTCCCAATGAATCATTTCTTTTACATTTTCCATTTGATACAAATAGTCACTACAAGGTTATCAAATGATCCTATACAAATTGAAACCAGATATTGGCTAAAATAAAAGAATGTGGGTCGTCACACTGGCTTTACAAACATAGGTTATTACAATACCAGTTTCCATCTGCTTGTGTTCCAGATAGGTGTTGACACAGACAAGAGCATCTAATGGTGTTCTTTTAAGCAGGAAGTTCCAAGTAATCTGCAACATATTCATATGCTCTTAAGTTTTTCTTCTCTGGTTTTAATTTCTGTATTCCGTTTAGCATGTATCCTGAAGTTTTTAAGGCTATCATGAATATGAGTATAAGCAGTGCTTAGTGGCCACTTTCTTTTAAGTAATGGAATTTGGCAATTTGGAATGTGCCAGCACAAGGTGTCAAACTTGAGGAGCCTATAGAATGAACTTGTTACCAGTACTGGTAGTCTCTCTGACATATTTTATGTTGGTTTGGTAGCTGCAAATGTCATTCCAGTACCTGTATATGTGTCCACTAATGTGGCAACATACTTATTATGGAAATCCTTAAGGGGTTCTATGAAGTCTATTTGTTTTCTGTAGATAAAATCTTTATATTCTAGATCTGGTTGGGGAATTTTATGTAGATTAAATCTCAGTTTCATTTTGGGGCATGTAGTACATCTGCATACAGAAGTGTTTAACATTTTTATTCTAATTTGTTATATATATATATATATATATATATATATATATATATATATCAGCAGAATGCATTATAATTCATGTTATAAATATGGAGCACAATTTTTTATCTTTCTGCTTGTATACAAAGTATATTCACACCATTCGTGTCTTCTTCATACTTAGGGTAGTGATGTCCATCTCATTCCAGCAGTTTTGATAGCAATCCATTTTACATCTAAGTTCCATTTTTGGAACCAGTCATATAATGCATGTACTTCTATATAACCTAATTGTTCATGTAACTTTATAATATCATGTTCAGCAATGTCTATTATTGTATTTTCAGGTTTGATATTTTCCCATGTTCCCTTAAATTTAAGTTTAAAAGGATCTTTGGTAGGTTTTAGTTCCCAATTCCTTTCTAGCTTGATTGTAGCTGTTTTTGATAATTTATCTACTGTGTTGTTAAGTGTACTGGTGTCTGTGTCTCTGTTCGTATGTGCATCTACATGTGTAACTTTTATGTTAATTTTTGTACTGGCTTCATATAGTTCTTTCCATATATTTCTTGACCACAACGGTTTTCCACTGATATAGAAGTCTGAAGAAGCAACACACCATGAATCTGTATAAATATATATTTCCTTACATTTTTTTAACAAGGCCTCTCTAATGACTAATGCAACTGATATTAGTTCTGCATGTTGTGCTGACATGTGCTCCCCTTGCTCTGTCAAGATTTTGCCTGTCTTATGTGGTTATATGCTGCTGCTTCCACTTAATAACTCCTTTCATTACTGTACTTTATCCATCTATAAACCATGCATTTTGTATATTTTCATTGTATTCAGGTCTCCATGTGCCTATATTTTTCAATGTGGATTGTGTTGGAAAAACAGGTACTAGTGCAAATGGTGGCTTTGCTACTTCTTCTGGATTTATTAAATATGCCTACTTTGGGATCCTCCTCTTGTAAAAATTATTGTAGGTACCATTGCCACATCAGGACTTTCTTTTCCCATATAATATTTTGTGTCTCTTTGGGGGTGCGTCTACACCAGTCTTTAAGTGAAATTGGAATTCTTAATATAATGTGATCATTGGTCATAGTTTTAGCTTGTTTCAGTGCCTCAAAGGCAACCCATGCTAATTTTCCAAATAATGAATACTTATTGGATGCATATGGGAATGTTTTACAAAAGAATCCTATTGGTTGGGACTTAGTTTTGTTATTATAGAGTCCCCATATACCATAGTCCGGTGTGAAAATGATGTCCACAATAATAAGTTCCTTGGATGTTATGCAGTTTTCTAGATTCTGTTATATACTGTTTCAATACATCTAAAGCTTTTTGGTGATGTGATTCCCAGATAAAGTCTTATGATTTCCTTGTTATTGCATATATTGGTTATAAAATGAGATTTAAGAATAGTATATGGTTGCACCTATATCCTAATATTCCTATCAATTATTGTGCTTCTTTCTTATTGGTTGGAGGTTGTAGTCCCAATATTCTATCTATAATTTGATCTGGGACTTGCCTTCCTTCTGCTGTGATCAAAACCCCTAAAAATTTTACTGTTTGATCTGGTCCCTGTACTTTCTCTGTGTTGATTGTCCATCCTTTTGCTATCAAGTATTATTTCCTCTGACATTTCATGCAAATCTTGTTATCATATCCTGTTATTAGTATATCATCTACATATGTATATACTGAGACATCCTTAATTTTAAGATCCTTAAGGGATTCTGATAGTGCAATATGAGCTGTTAGTGGGCTATTTTTATAGCCTTGTGGTAATCTTTTGAATATTTTGTGATATTGCACAGAATTCCATGTAAATGTGGTCATCTCCCTGGATTCTTTTGCTATAGGGATGGCAAAGAACATATCTGAGAAGTCTATAGTTACAAAAAATTTAAAATTGTTGGAGTGTATATGTTGTAATATTGTGGTAATGCCTGACAGGTCTCCTGGCATCTGTGGTGT